AATTGTCAGCTTATTGTATGGCTATTTTTTAAATTATTTGTTGAATGTATGGTTAACCGTTAATATCCTCAGCTAGCAGTATGGCTAGCATGTGGAATTGCTAGTTGAAACTATGGCTAACGGTTAACCCACCAGTCTGTCTGCGTTTGGTTTCTTCCCTGTTTGTTGTTTTGAGGCGCTTGTTCGACTGCCTGGAAACTGGGCCAGACGTTGCTAATTTCACCATTTGCACATACTTGTCAGTTTGTGTATTTCTTTCTTTCTTTTTTTTGTAGTTTACTGAGCAAGTTGGATTCCTTCTGATTTGACTTGTTTCACTGATTTAGCACCACACTGAGGCCCTGTTTGTCTTTGCACTATTGTCTCCTTTGTATGTTAATTATGCAATTAAGCAATAAATGTTTGAACTTAATCAAAGAACAGCTGGTTTTATGTTCCTTCACAGTGTACCAGCAGGGCTAACACTGATACAACCTGTTTGAATAGCAGAGACCATGTTTTACACAAATTAGACGTGTATTCAGTACGTTTTATATCTTTGCATCATGTTTAGGAGCAAAATCGCGACTTTATCTTTTCTTATTGAGTTCAACAAATGCAAAGGTTACTTGACTGGGGTTAAAGCGCTTTCAGGTTTCAGAGCGTGTGGAAGTCGCTCTACCTTTTCTCAGACTAACAGGAAACACGGGGTTAAGTTTTTTGGAGCTATTAAACACTTCAGGGCTCCTCCAGAACTACAAATTAAATCAGGGTTAAATCTACATCATGCAGAAGCTGTTTACAGTTACGTCGATCCACATAAATTCTGCGTTAAATTTAACACCGCATGTGAATAGTTTATGTCACAGCCGTAAAATGCAGAATTCAAGATATTAATCATACCTAAGAACCCCCCTGAGCCGTCAGATATTCACTCATCATTCATGTTTATGGAGGATATGAAATCCTGAACATTTCATGTATGGAAACCGCTAAAAATAAATATGTAGAGGACAGCGTGCATTTCACAAGTTTCCAGTTTTTGTCGGCTATTTAGAGTGTTTACATGTTACTGATCAGAACAAGAGATGTTTTTGACAGAGATATAATAACATTACATAATTAAAATTAAAGCTCTGCTGAAAGAAATAAGGCATTAACCCCTTCAACACGAAGCAACTTTGGCTTTAATTCCTAGGAATATCAAATCTTTGCTGCTGCTAATGGGTAGCAGCAATTACGTTAGCGATTACGCTAGCGAATAACAACGGTAAAAGTTTGGCTAACAGTTTAAATTGTGAGATACCGCTATGGCTAACAGTTGAAATTATCAGCTAGAATTATGACTAAGAGTTTAAATTGTTAGCTAGAAGTCTGGCTAACAGAAACAAATGTTAGCTAAAAGTATGGCTAGAAGTTAAAAATATTAGCCTAAAGTATGGCTAACAGTTTGAATTGGTAGCTAAACTGTAGCAACTGTCAGCTAAAAGTATGGCTAACTATTTGTTTTAGTTAAAAGTATGGCTAACAGTAGACTTTTTTTCTCGGTTTGTTTCTCAAAACACTTTCTAAACCTCTACACAAGATGCTAACAAACAGCAGCCAAAACAGGAGCCAAGATGTCCGCTGGATGAAGCCGACAGAACGACATCGTCACGCCCAACACACGGCGATGTTAAAAGAAACGCATATTTCATGTGCTTATATTTTACACACGTTTTTTTGTTTTTACGCATGTTCATATCATCATATCTCCGGTTTTACGAGGTCTATCGACATGAAACAAAACTGTGAGAGAGTTTGAAGTCGGCACTTTGGAGAGAAGTTGACAGCATCGCCGTCCATGATGACGTCTCGAAGATGTCATATGACTGTATCACCTGTGATGGTTGAGCATCACGACCATCAAGTCTGTTTGGATTTCTGTTTGTCCGTTAAATCACATATACGATAAATACATGTGTTATCGCTTCAACTCTTTTCTACATTGTTGGGTTTTCCATAAATTCCAAAGCAGTAATTGATTTCGCGTTATTATCGTTGCTATTCCCGCAGTTCGTCTGCGAGGCGCCACGCGACAAGAAAGTAAAGTTGATAAAACATAAAACACGGGTTAAGAGAGTCAAAACGTCCTCTACATTATGTCATCTGCAAGAGTCTACTACGCCCTCAACTCTTACGGCGCTAATTACATCACAGAATCAGCACTTCACCCATCCTGCTGTTTCAAGTGTGCCGAACTAAAGGCTGTAATGGAATTTCCAATAAAATCCCACTTAAGGTCAAAATTGAAAAGGTTTTTCAGAAGCACTCCTCATTTACAACATATTCAAGTATAACACGGAGCTGTTCGCTTTTATTGTCTCCGCTTTCTCTCCGCCAGTTTTCCCCCTCATCATTGCGAGTTTTATTTTACTTTAAACCGTGATGACCTTTGGAGTTTGCCAAAACCAGGAATTTTGCTCCCAAACCCCCTCGTCTAGGTGGAAATAGTGTCCTGTGAGGAACCTTTTCACCCCTGTAAAGATGATGTTGTCAGGAGGGTTCACGGTTCGTCGGGTTTGCCTGGAAATAAAAGTGTCTTCTTGGCTCTGCATGTAAATAATGAACAGAGGCAGGACGGGCTTCATGTGTCGTACACCTGAGCCTCCACTGAGCACAATTGCAAAACATTAATCCATCCATCCATTATCTATACACCGCTTAATCCTCACTAGGGTCGNCCAGTCCGTCCACGTGACTCCTTGTTCCCTCCTTCAGACCTTTGAACTGGGAGGAACCAACACGTGGTGCCGACAGACAGCTGACCGGCTCTGACCGGCTCAGACCGGTTCATCTAGTTTCACTTTCCTGAAAGCAGAAACGCACTCGGTCGCTGCTCAGACGACAAAATGGCTCAGAGAGGATCTAAAGAGTATCCCCAGAGTTTCTCTTGTTCCGTGTGTCGGGATCTGCTGAAGGATCCGGTGATTACTTCCTGTGGACACAGCTTCTGTCTGGACTGTATTGAAGCCCACTGGAATGCAGAGGAGGGTAAGAGACTCCACAGCTGCCCTCAGTGCAGGAAGACCTTCATACAGAGGCCTGTCCTGGAGAAAAACATCCTGCTGGCAGAGTTAGTGGAGGAGGAGCTGAAGAGGACTGAACTCCAAGCTGCTGCTGCTGCTGCTGCTGATCACGGCTATGCTGGAGCTGAAGATGTGGCCTGTGATGTCTGCACTGGGAGGAAGAGGAAGGCTGTCATGTCCTGTCTGGTCTGTCCGGCTTCTTACTGTGAGAACCACCTCCAGCCTCACTATGATTCACCTCCGTTGAAGAAACACCAGCTGGTGGAGCCCTCCAAGAACCTCCAGGAGAACATCTGCCCTCGTCATGGTGAGCTGATGAAGATGTTCTGTCGCACTGATCAGCAGCTGATCTGTCATATCTGCTCTGTGGATCAACATAAAGGCCATGAAGCAGTACCAACTGCAGCAGAAAGGACGAAGAAGCAGGAGGAGCTGGAGGAGAGTCGACTGAAAGTCTGTCAGAGGATCCAGGACAGAGAGAAAGACATGAAGCTGCTTCGAGAGGAGCTGGAGGCCATCAATGTCTCTGCTGATAAAACAGTGGAGCACAGTGAGGAGATGTTCAGCCAGATGATCCGTCTGATCCAGAAAAGAAGCTCTGAGGTGAAGCAGCAGATCAGATCCCAGCAGGAGAAGGAAGTGAGTCGAGTCCAAGAGCTGGAGGAGAAGCTGCAGCAGGAGATCAGTGATCTGAAGAGGAAAGACGCTGAGCTGAAGCAGCACTCAGAGACACCAGATCTCCGCCGGTTCCTCCACGACTACCCCTCAGCGTCAGCGCTCAGCGAGTCCACACACTCATCCAGCATCAGCATCCGTCCTCGGAGACACTTTGAGGACGTGACGGCAGCTGTGGAGGAGCTCAGAGATGGACTGCAGGACCTTCTGAGGGACGCAGGGACAAACATCTCCCTGGCCATCACTGACGTGGACGTTCTACTGTCAGAACCGACCAGAGCTGGGTTCTTAAAATATTCACGAGAAATCACTCTGGATCCAAACACAGCAAACCGATTTCTGTTGTTGTCTGACGGGAACAGAAAAGTGGAAGTGATGGATCGACCACAGCCTCGTCCTGCTCATCCAGACAGATTCACTCCCTGGCAGCAGGTTCTGAGTAACGAGGGTCTGACTGGACGTTGCTACTGGGAGGTGGAGATGAGAGGAGAAACTAATGTAGCAGTTGCGTACAAGAACATCAGCAGAACCGGGAGTTCATCTGGATTTGGACTAAATGACAAATCCTGGGCTTTACGTTGCTACAGCTACATTTGTATATTTGCGCACGACACAATTCTAACTCCCGGCTCAGGTGGTGCCGCCTCCAGAGTGGGAGTCTACCTGGACCACAGAGCAGGTGTTCTGTCCTTCTACAACGTCTCCTCCGACACCATGACTCTCATCCACAGAGTCCAGACCTCGTTCACTCAGCCGCTACACGCCGGAGTTTGGCTCGGTTCTGAATCCAGTTTAGAGTTCATTAAAGCTGAATAGACTGAAGAGCAGCTGGTTCAGTCTGACTGTACACTGTAAAACACCACGGCTTGATTTAACCGTCTGCTTATTGAACAATCAGCTGTTAGTTTACAGATTTATGTTCCTGATAAGATCTACTGAGAACACAGAAAGAACGTTTTCATTCACATGTTAACTGTAAAAAACATCCACATCAACAGTCGTTTGTTGTTTAAAAAAACAAATCATGAATTGTTTCGCTGATATTTGAAGTTATTTGAAAGAAACGTTCTGAAAATTAAGGATTGATCGTTTAACAGGTTCTAATAAAATCACAGGAAAAAGTCAGAATTTATGTAAAATCCATTAAAAAAACAGTAAATAATGTGGAATAAGATGATTTTATGTGAAAAGATGGTTTTGTTTTGTTTGTTTTTTCATCTCATGAACATGTTTGTTGTGAAAATCTTTAAAAGTTTTACGTGTATTTTCCCAATTTTTTTTAAAATTACACATAATCAAGAACCTCTGTGATTATTGTTTTGTTGCTGAAAACAAACGTGACTCCGAGGTCCTGCACATGCTCGACAGCTTACCAACGTTTACACGCATCAGGACGGATGAAGAACGTGATATTTTCAAGGACCTGAACACGTTAATGGCAAAGTGGCTCCACAGCGCCCCCTACANCACCGCAACACCGTAATTATGTTGTGTTGTGGCTTTTGTTTTGTTGTGACACTTCTGGGCCACCGTAGAATAGTTCATCTAAAAAAAACAACTTAATTCTCATCACTATAAAAGGCTAAAATGGATTGCAATAGAGCACCCAGTAAGGCAACATGTGCACCAAATAACTTAAACTTTAGAAACTAACAGGGTTTTACTGAAATGGCACAGCTGCCAATAACAAAAAGTCTAACAAATATCTTCAAAGGGGGCTTTCGAGGACACATAAAAAATACTTTTCACGACTGGATAGTTGAAATATCTGACATAAGGCTGCGGTGCTGTAATTGGAGATCTCTCCGCCAGCCGCCGGCTCGCCAGACATAAATGAACAGCAACAAATGGGGCGAGCTTACAGAAACATTTTGGTCCTACAATAGCTTTAAAAAAAAGAAAAAACAAACAAGCTAACTGGATGCTGCTCACTGTTTTCTGGGAGGTCACAGTCCATTCAGGCTGTCAGCTGAAAATGAGCGGCGGGCAGCAGCAGCATTAGTTTATAGCCTATAAGGTGGTTTACTTTGAATGGCAGCATAATACATTAAAGTGCTCCTCCAAGACACACAATAAAAACTTATTTTACTCTTTTATGGCAGAAAGTTCTTCATTCTTTTTCACCTCAAATGTTTCTTGAGTTCAACATTTTTTTTTGCTTTCTGTCTGGCAAGAAGCCAAGAGCTGGAAATCTACATTTTTAAGTTCAAATCTNATCCACTATCTATACACCGCTTAATCATTACTAGTGGGGGTGGAACCACACAATCTAGATCAGAGGTGTCCAATCCTGGTCCTCGAGGGCCACAATCCTGCATGTTTTAGATGTTTCCCTCTTCCAACACACGTGATTCAAATGATCAGGATCGTCATCAGAGCTTGATAGTGAGCTGATCATTTGAATCAGGTGAGTTGGAAGAGGGAAACATCTAAAACATGCAGGATTGTGGCCCTCAAAGACCAGGATTCGACACCCCTGGTATAGAGGAAGAGTTTCAAACCTAAGGGGGTAACTGTTCTTTTTGACACGTGGATATAAACCAACAAAATCCATCCAGCCATCCATTATCTATACTTAATCCTAACTAGTGTCGCACACATTCACACCTACAGACAATTTAGAATCACCAATTAACCTCAGTATGTTTTTGGACTGTGGGAGGAAGCCGGAGAACCCGGAGAGAACCCACGCTGCACGGGGAGAACATGGAGACTCCACGCAGAAAGACCCCGGGTGTCCTCACTGGGGCGCAAACTGGCAACGATGCTAACCACCGAGCCACCTTGCAGCTCCTCAACCAACAAAATGATGAAGTTTGTTTTTTAAAATTTCAATAAAAGACCTAAAATATGTACAAGAGGTAGAAAATATGACAAGTCTATAAGTGCATCTGCATAACTTCTCTGCAGAAAACTGAGAGAAGGAGCAGAGCAGCAGAATTCAGCAGCTCTCCAAACAGAGAAAAGCTATTCTCAGTTTATTGGGCAAAATAATGCTGTGCTCAAAATGTACATCCCCAATGAAGACAGCGTTTTGTTTAGAGAAAGCCATTTAACCCCGCGCCTCTCTGAGCACTGCACCGACATTACATCGGAAATAATTGCGTTACGAAGTAAAACAAAACTCTGCGAGGGCAGAAAACTGACTTACTTCTGCTGCAGATTACGATATATTCACCTCTATTAGTCATGCCGGCGCTTCCTGCCCGGGCCGACAGCAGCGCGCGACACGCTGTCAAAGCGTTGGTTGCCGGGGCTGCGTGAGTGATGCGAGCGAACTGGGCCTTTTGCCTGGAGGCTCTCGCAGCTGAGACGCTTCCAGAAAACACAGTTTGGAAGCAGTTAAATTTTATTAACCTCGGCACACATCCATGCACACGTCTACGGGCCCTTCCTGCGATTTGACTTCTGGTCATTTCTGTTCCTCTGGATGCTTCTACTTGGAGGGTTTACTCGTATATATTTACTGTTTGCTGCCACAAAAATTCAAATCCAGTCACATCGTAGTCGTGTTTACATATTTTTGACCAAGAATTGTATCGTCTCAGGGTTATACTGTCTGATCTTCAGGGGGGGAAATAGTACGGTGGCCCAGAAGTGTCACAACAAAACAAAAGCCACAACACAACACAATAAACACAAAAAACACAACACAATAAACACTACAAAATTAACCGCAACACTACAAAATTAACCACAACACTACAGAATTAATCACAACACTACAAAATAAAACACAACACAACACAATTAGCCGCAACACTACAAAATTAACCACAACACAACGGCTGCAAGGGAAGTTGTTTTTTAAACCTGGAAGTTATACTGTGAAGTGCGCAACGCCACACGAAGTGGGCAGAAGCCGGAGATTGTTGGAAACAACTCGAGAAGTAAGTAAAATACTGATAGTAAACAGTGTCCATTAACAAGTCCAACATGCAATGACTCTTTATTTAAGATTCAGCGTTAACAACAGCTGTAATAGCGCATACTGAAGTTATTAAACATTATTNCTGTTACTTTAGCTTGAGTGTTCGACAAACAAATTACACAGGTTTAAATAAAGCTTTCATTGCAACAGCAAAGCGATTAAATATTGGGAGTCCACATTGTGATGTAATGAGCGGCGGCGAGATAATGACGCTGACATTTTAGCAGGAATAACTCACTCCGGACTGATAAGGCGCACGTTTTTTTTTTTGCCGGGGCAGCACTTCTCTGACAAAAGAATAAACGTGTAAGTCATAAATTCTTTCTAATAGATTCCATTTCTAATAGATTTTAATTTGTCGAGGAGTCGAATTAACCAGACGTAGATCCTGCTAGTTAATAGTTATTCACGGTGCAGGTGGAGATAACGTGCGTTTGACAGCAGAACAAAAGCTCCTCCATTAAAAAACGCTATCTTTCATCTGACCTGCGGCCGACATCCACGTGTCTCTTTATCTATAAACTCTACATTAGCTCGTCCGTTCACACTCGCTGCCTCAATCTTTTTCCACATTTGTAACGGAAATGCATGTATTTGCAACATGGAAGGAAATGTTCACAAAAAGGTGACGGGGAATATATCAGCGTTTTACATTTCTGGTTCAACTAACGACTGTTTTAAGCCGATCAACGAGTCGAAACAGCCGCTAAGTCTTCTTCCAGTGCGATAAAAACTAATTACTAACCTAATTAGCGAACTCGGGATCGCTGCCGTCATATCTGGAGTTTTCAGCGTTTCAATCAGATCTGCTATCGTTTCCAACTCTTTGGGAAAAAAAATCTAAGCAAATCAATACTTTAGCAAAATAAAGAAAGGCGATGTCATCACACTGTGGAACGAAAAAAATAAATAAATTAGGGATGAGAAGGATGAAGTGTTAATTGCGACTGCTACCCCAGCTCGGCTAATTTGAACATAATCTCATAATGAAACTTGAAGTGAACAATGTGGCAGTTTAATGTCATTATCAGACTAACGCGCGCCAGCACTACATTACGTCATGTTTGTGCTTCGATGTGCGCGATTAGCAAAGCGCTTCGTTCGTCCGTCCTCGCGGATTTTTACATTAATTCCGCTTGAAGCCCAGTTGAATTATGGACCTTTGATTTAGCAAACTGCACCGAATATAGAACAATGTGATGGACGGGGTTCCTCTAACCTCAGATAAACTTTCATCTTTGAAGAACCGATTGCTGGCAGACGACAGATGTACACTTTTTTTTAATATAATGGAAACTGGGGGGTGTTCTCTGTTCTATAATGTATGTTGTGGGTCAGACATTTCATCGGCATTTATCCTCATTGATTTGTTTAAACCTCAGGGGCCTCCTTCCTTCCTTCCTTCCTTCCTTCCTTCCTTCCTTCCATCTGTAGATTTGGGATATAACATAAAGGGGCTTGGACGTATCGGTCCCAAAAGGTAAGCAAAGGCGGGATTTTATTCATCATGTTTGCTCAATGGAAACCTTAAGCAAAGTGGAGGATATTACACTCTGCAAGATCTCAATGAAAGAATGTATTAGTGTAACCAGAGGCACATTTATGTTCAATAGGAATGAATCTACATGACAGAATAAAAACAGCTCACAAGCATCACCTCACGTCCATCATCAATGTTTTCTAATAAAACACAAGGTCCTCCAAGGAACACGAGCTAAGGAATGGAAAAAAGGCAATTTTGTGCCAAATGATGCTGCGTTTTAAAAATAATTTCTCATGTAAAAAAATAAATAAATAAAAATAAGGCTGCATTCCTCCCATTACATCAATTTCCGTCTGGAGGAGCGTAAATGGCAACCGATGCACCCCAGGGAGCGTAACCACAGCTCTGCGCTCAGCACCGGAGGGGGGTCTCCGATGACCCGGAGGACCCTGTGGCCCGCAATTGACCTCCGAGGTAACCACCGGGCCAATTAGCAGCGGTTCCCTCCAGGGCCCGGCCTATCGGAGCATCTGATCAGGATGCCACACAGCCGAGCTGAGGTCTGACTCTCGTTGGGTATCCGAACCACAGAGAGCCCTCAGATCCCGGGCGGGTTGCAGTTTGTTAATGTGATAAGATTATGAGCGTAACTGTTGATGGTATAATCGTGTTTACAAGCCTGAGACCTGAGAAAATACACAACAACAAAAAAAAGAAATAACAAACAGCACCACTCATAACTCACTGACACGGTGCAAAAAAGACGCTCAGACTTTGGGTTTATATACAACAATGGGTTTTCAAGGAGACTTTTCTTGGCTGAACGCTGCACAATGAGGAAAAAATAAAA